TGTAGGGAAGGCTGCAAACACGCTAAAATCCTCCGTCTTCTGTGTGTCAAGACATTTACATGTCTGCTTCCATGAAACACCACGGCTTCTGTCTTGTCTTCTGTTCGTTTATTTAAACCTGCTTACTGGTTTAGTGTCATCCTTCCCTGCTTGTATTCTTTTATACTGTTGTTTTCCACGCCTCTGTCATATGCTGCTCGTGTCCCTTACAAGTGCTGCAGCTCTAATCCCGTGGTCTTTCCTTGCACAGAAGTTGGTTCACACCTGAGATGTCCTTGTCTCCTTTTCTCCATGGCTTTACTGGTTGGGCTGGCCACATCTGCCAGTGGCTTTCAAGATAGAGCAATACCGTAAGCACACATATTTCATGCAGTATAATCTGTTTTCTGGTTTGTCAATCCTTTTTTTAAACAGTTCCCATCATTTTGTTTGTATTTTTAGCCTCTTGTGAGTACGAGGGGGCTGGTTTAGAGTCCTGTCCATAATGCCACAAACATAGCAGCTAATCTAGAGCTCTTCATTGCCTATAATCAGTGGGGTTATTTTATCTGCTAATTTATCACGCGTTGTTTTGATACCAGGAGGTCCTTCTGCAGCTCTTCACAGACAGGTTTGGATTTGACTATCCTGAGTAGTTCTGAAACATTGGCAAACATCCTTTCACTATTCATCTCCAGCACTACCAGTGGTGCCGCGGCTGGGCTGTGATGGTTTGTGAGGTCGGGGCACTAGTGCCAGCTCCTGAACTTCTCTGAGCTCTCTGACTGCACAGATCAGCAAACGTCAGCCAGGAAACTGCAGAGTATTGTTTCTTAAATCTGTATAATATTTCAAAATACAGCCACAGAGGCAGAAGGATCTGTGTTCACAAAGACGATGGAGGTGCTTTCTTCAAATAAAAAGAGGTTTATTAAGGTAATGAGAATGACATTGTGGTGTGGGTGTTGTACATCTATTGCAGCATTAAGAGAAACAACAGCAAGTACAAACTCCTGCAGAACTTCTATAGCCATTATCATCACAGCCTATCTTGTCCATGCTACAGTTTTGCGTGTCCAAAACTTCATTCCCATTTCTAACGGCAGAAAATCCAAAGACTTTCACCTTTCAAAAAAAAAAAGAACAACCCCAAAACAAAAATAGGCAAAACAAAAAAAAAAACAATTCAATTTTATATAAATAACTTGCACTGGACATTTTAAAACTTTCAGATTTTAATTACACATAAATAAATATATACAGATTTAGAACAGTTCAGTTTGGCCTGGTTCAAGTTCTGCTCCTTGTGCTTTATTAGTTATTATTAATTTTAGAAACTTGTGTGCTGTTATCTGTAGCTTGGGGAGTTTTAATTAGTCCTGGGTTTAACTTAACCTGCTTTATCCCCAGCTGTGACCGTAGCCATCGGGAAGGCTCTCCTCGAATCGCTTCCTGCCCTGGGAATCATCAGGTGTGTGGTTTGTTCCTCCCTCGTGGTATGGCTCAGGGCTCCTCAGCCCCGGGGAAAATCCACTCTGAGTCTCAGTTTGAAAACTGTAAACGAAGTCTGAAACTGCTTTAAACCCAAAGCAGCTCTGCTGGCGATTTTCTGTTGGCTTGGCTTTAGGACTGGGCTGGATGTGGGGAAATAGGAAGGTTTCCTGTGTGTTTGCCTGTCAAAACCAGCTGTGATCCAGCTCCCTGCCCTCTGCTGCTTGTGTCGCTGGCTCTTGCATTGATGAGGCCTTTGCTCTTTCTTCTCAGTTTTTCAGATCGAAAAAATTCCTGGAGCATGTCAGGATTTTGCTATGGGTTTTTAAAAAATAAAACAAATAAAATTGCACATGACTTGGCTTTCTGCATCCACGATTTAAAAAAAAAAAAAAAAAAAAAAGCAAACCCAAAAGCCATCACCCTGGCTCATCTTCTCAATCTCACTATGTCCATTAGAGTTGTTTTCTTCTTCAATTCTTTACATCTTCTTTTTTGTCTTTTCTTTGCTTGCTTTACGAGTTTCATCCCAAGTTCAAATGTAGCAGTTCAGAAAAGGGTGCCCTGGGTCCTCTATCCCCTCCAGTGCTGTTAAGCCTTCCTGCTGTGACCGGGGAGAGGAAGGGAGACAGCATGTTATTTCCGATGCTTCACTTCTTTTTCTGATGCTTTGGAGTCTCCGGCCGTGTGCCCGTTGCCTGTGCTGTTCATGAACATTTTATCCAGCCCCTTGAGGGACTCCACCAGGTAGTTCTGGAAGGCTGTGAGCGCTGCGCAGATGGCTGGGCCCCCGAAGCCGTGGGTTATCAAGCTGAAATGAGTCAAACAGCTCTGGACACCTGGCTCTAGGATGAGTGAGGGGCGGCTGTTCCCCAGCGGGGAGCGATCCTGGGCTATCAAGTCTGCAAACTCTTTACAAATTTGCCTGAAAGAGAAAGGGTTGTGTTACTGTAAATGCTGCTGGAAAGCAGCAGGGACAGAGGTGACAGAGCTGTGTCTGGGGTTTCTTTTCCTGCTGCCTGCCCCAGCAGCTGCCTCCTCTCCGGGGGCTGCCCCTGGAGAAAGCCCCTGGGTGCAGAGCTGGAGCTGCTGCTTTGGGGGGGGATGTGGGGCAGCGCTGAAATGCTCCCTGGGGTTAGGTTAACCTCTCCTGTGTAGGAACAAGCCCTTGGGTCTGTGCTAACTCTTCACCTTGTTGCACATCTCTCAGATCTGCGTGCAGCATCCGAGAGACCATCTCTTCCCTGCAGCAGAGCCAGCTTTTGGGGCTAACGCTGCCCTCCCAGGCTGCAGTAGCTCGTTGCCATCCGTACTCACTTGGTAGCCAGCAGCATGTTTTTCCTGGTGTGGAGCTCCGTGGGGTCGGAGTGCTGTCGGCACAGGTACTCTGCCGCCGCCTTGGCTGGGAACTCTGTTTCGCACACATACCCGAAATCCCGAGCCAGGTGAACGGCTTCACCTACAAGCAGGACAGAGGAACAAGCTGCGTCAACACCCGCGAGGAAGGGGAGCGCTCACTGTAGCAAAGTCAGACACCTCACTGATGTGCCTTATTCCTTATTTCCTTTCCCAGTTGCCACCCAAGACCTCTCTCCACCTCTGGCTCGGCGTGCAGACACACCACTGGGAGTTTTTTACACTCATCTGTAGGACAATTAGTCCACGTGGGTCCAGATGAACCACTGACAACTCTGAAGGGAGGCTGGTTCCTTCCTTTGCTGGCTTTTAAAACAGCATCAAGGTGGCCCCGGAGTTAGATCAGGGTGAGGTGTGACTAGGCTGCTCCTCCAAGAGGAGGAAGAGCAGAGCTGTTTCTCCCTTGGGTGCTTCCCTTGCTGCATCTTTCTCTCCCTACTTCTTCCAAAATTTCCTGCTTGGCCTCTCCAAATTGAGCACGGATTTAAACAGGGGCTGGAGGGTGAAAAAGCGGCAGCCCTGCGCCTGCTCTACAGAACAGGGCTGGGGGGAGCGGGCAGGACGGAGGGGTTTACGTCCTCCCGCAGCGAGCCGGGGCCCTCGGGCGGGACGCACTGGCAGTGTATCCATCACCCCGTGGAAATGCCCACCCATCGATGGAATTGATCCATCTCCAGGCGTCCCCATGGAAATAATCAGAGCTGATGGCAATCGATCATGCCCAACGCCCGAAATCCTGGCCGGGCAGGCAGAGCTAATTTGACTCGCCCCCCTGCTGCTCGTATGTATTAAGCCATCCATCCTGACAGCGTTAACCCAGATCCCACCGCTGTCTCCCCAGCTCTCGGAGCTGTCTGTGAGGCAATGTTATGGGGAGAGTGTCTGTGCTTCCCATCTAACAATAATTCTGTCCACTCTGTCTCCTCTCCCAAGGAAGGAGCAAATAGGTTAAACCTGGAGAATGGGAACTGCAGTCGTCTGTATGTCAGAAACAATCAGAAAGTGATGGCTGCTGAAAACCAGTTGTTGTGACAATAAAAGGGGCTGCGTGACCTCGCAGTGAGAGCCGAGGCTGGAGCCAGGATTTATTTCCTCCGCGAGTGTGTGCGAGTGGCTGCACGGCTGAGTGTTTTAAAGGCAATTTGGATGCTGGCTCAGAGAGGTTTCAGCGGCCGGGACGAGGCAGTCCAGCTTTTGAAAGTGGCGTTAGAGCCGCACTAAGTCAGAGCCCAGCAGAGGAGAGCCCAGCCAGTTTGTGTGTGCTGAGTACTGACAATGCCATAGCACCTTCCTCTGGGTGGAACACCTCCCGGTCCTGTAACGCTGTGCGGGAGGGTGGGAGGGTGTTCAATCCATCAAGCACACATGGCACCACTCTTTTATTTACTACGAGCTGGTAAGCAGTACCCAAAACATCAGCAGCCACCTGAAAACAAAATGTACATTTCTTCCTTCCTTTCTTTCATTCCTTCTTTTCTTTCTTTTCTTTTAATGGAAATCAGCCTTTCATTCAGCACCAACCAACTGCCCTCAGTAACAACCTCCGCCTAATGAAGCGGGTCATTTAATTTGCTGGCAACAATGGAGATGATTTTCTATTCAGAAACTGCAGGCAGCTGCCTCCAGCACGCTGGGTGCAAACACAATGGATTCCAAAGCTCGAAGGGAGCCGGAGCTGTCATTGCGTTTGTTTGCATCCCCTGTCCTTTTCTCCCGAGATGCAGCGGCAACATCATCATTTCCATAGTGCAGAAGGTAGGAGGGGAGCAAATAACCGAGCGGCTTTGGGCAGGGCGCATGCTGCCTGCCGCGACGGTGCTGCCGCAGCCCGTGTCCGCGGCTCAGCCCCTCAACACCGCGCTGA